GTGGGCTGAATGAAAAACAGTCCTGAATGACTAAAGGTCCACAGTTCTTTCTGTTAAAGTTGATTTGTCACAATATTGTTAATTAGTGAGGGCTTAGGGAAGGCTTACTATGAATATAATTACAGTGCTGAAAAGCATTAATAACGCTCTTATCCCGAGCCAACATGATGCTATTTACATATTTTACCTTGGCATATACCAGAAATGTCTTCCAATGCATAATGTGCTGCAGGATCATCAAGAGAAACACACAAAATCTCACAGGGGAAGGACGTTTCTGAGTATCTCGGTGTTCTTCAAGGCAGCAGGGACACTAATTTGACCAGTAATTACAACTGTCACCATAAGCATTGCCTATGGTGAGCCACCTTTCATCATGAACTGCTGTTCCATCGGGAGGCAAATGAATTGCTACCCCTGGTACATAATCTGACGCAATCTCATCCTTCTCTCATAAATTAGGACAGAAGTGACAATTGCATTTGTCTGCTGTATATGGCAGGAGCTCTGCGCAGACATCAATCAGTTCTCAATGAATAAACTATATGATAAAAGCCAATTAACCCGCGTTATCATTATCGCCTATTTCGACATGCTAGACCGCAATTCCTGCCCTCGTTACACTGAAATGTAAAACTCAGACTGGGTTCAACAGGGCCAGAAATTCACCCGAGGGCACTAAAGGCTGGGCCTGCGTTACTGGCCCTGTGTGACTTTTGCCGTTCATTTCAGCGGGTGAAGGAGTGAAAGTGTTTTGACGTCATGCTTTTGCAAACTCCCCCAAGGAGCCCACGCACTTCTTCAGGGGCTGCATACCTTTTATGACTCTCACTAAGGGATTTGCCAAAGACCACACACCAGGTTGTTAGCAAGGAAGAGTGAGAACCCAATCGTTTCCAAATCTTCGCCTCTCAGCACAGTAAACTTCCCAAGGTCCTTTTCAAAGAAGACAAACATTTCTAGCTGAATTTTAAAAATTAACGCCGAATTTAATCATGATTCAAAGTCAATTATCTACAGGATGAGAAAAACCCCTAACTAAAAAGCTCACTGAATTTCAGGCTACTTGATACAAGACAAAAGACAGAGTCAGGAAATATTTTTTCACCTTATTTTTTCACAACCTTTCACGTTGTAACGTGTCAAAAGGAAAATTATGAAGAAAATTATCACCTAATTTTACTGAATCAAGTATTACCCACAACCAGACGTATCTGATATTAAGCTTGCTAGATGGCTTTTGCCTGGCCGATCCTACTTTCCTAAACAAAGCCAGCGGACACAAGAGGCTGGAGGTCAAACAGTCTTGCTGTATGAAGCCTGCAGTCACAAGACTATTCACTCAAAGGTGGAAAGATGTGGGAGAAAGTGAGGAGGTCTCGATGCTCCTAGGGGAAGGAGGAACTTAGCACATTCATGCATAGAAAACAAGCCCTCATTTAGTAGACTTGCATTTCCAAAGTAGCAAACAAGCTTCCTCATCAAAGCTGCAAAGGAGGAAGAGGGAAGATCATTGCATGGAGAAATAAGTAGTTCAATGGGTAAGAATAAACATATCATTTTCACAGTGAAGGCAAGTTACCTTACTGTCCTACAGGGACCTTTGCCCCAGAATGCACGCTGTTCAACTTAACTAAGAAATCACCTTGAAATAAGGATTAATTTGGAGATGGTAGTATTTCATATCACCATATTCAGCATGGAGATGCTGATGATACTACGTTAGTGTGAGTAGTAAAGACGAGCTGTGAGAAGAGATGGAGTAGGAGCTCATGGTCACCAGGGAATGCACGGTAAAACAACAGATGACATTCAGTATCCATAAATGCAAAGTTATGCATTCAGAAAACAGTTTTGACTTCATACACCCTATGATGAACTCTGAGCTGAATATTATAGTGGAGAAATAAGATCTAGAGTTGTTATAATTATTATAATAGAATGCCAACAATGATTACAAACAGCACAGAGAATAAAAGAGACAACATAATTATGAAAACAGATAAAGTCACAATTTGTCCATATCTTGAATACCAGGTTCTATCTCAGTAAAAACACTGCAGAACTGGAAAAGAAATAGATAAGCATGACAAGGCAAATTAAAAACATGAGGCAGCTTCTTTACAAGAGACTAGGGATTCTCTCTGGAAAAGAGGTGGTGGGGGAAGGATGCCAAATACACAAAATCACAAGGGACATCGAAAAAATATGAACAGGGAATGGTTGTTCACCGTTTCTCTAATACAAAAAACAGGTTAAAGCAAATTAATAGCCCTGGTTTGTAACAGAGAAAAATATTTCTTCACTCAACGCATCATTAACTGCGTTAAGTCCTTGTGACAGGAAGAAGCACATACTAAAAGTATGTAGCAGCTGGTATAGTGCTGTGTTTTGGGCTTAGGATGAGAACAATGTTAATAACAAACTGATGTTTTAGTTGTTGCTGAGCAGCGTCTACACTAAGTCAGGGACTTGTCAGCTTCTTATGCTGTCCTGCTGGCGAGGAGGCTGGGGGGGGCAGAAGAAGCTAGGAGGGGACACAGCTGGGACAGCTGACCCAAACTGGCCACAGGGATATTCCCTACCATATGACATCATGCTGGACAATAAAACTGGGGGTACGTGGCTGAGGCATGGTGGCCGCTGCTCAGGGACTGGCTGGGCATCAGCCAGTGGGTGGTGAGCAATTGTGCATCACTTATTTTGTATATTCTTTTATCATTATTATTATTTTCCCTTCCTTTTCTGTCCTGTGAAATTGTCTTTATCTCAACCCACGTGTTTTACCTTTTTTCTGATTCTCTCTCCCATCCCACTGAGGGGGTAGTGACCGAATGGCTGTGTGGTCTTTAGCTGCCTGCCAGGTTAAACCACAACACCTGACTTTAGACCCTTTCCTAGGCATCTTCTACTAGTTACTGCCAAAGGCAGTCTTTGGGCTAGGTGGACCTTTGGTCTAGCACAGTACAGTAGTCCTTACATTTTTATCTTTATTCCTTCCTCACCACTTCCTTAGAGCAGAAATGGTTCAACAGCACTGACAGCTCAGGAGATCTTGTCTTTCACTTTTAGTGCACTAAAGCTCAATGAGGACAGTAGGAAAAAGTGCAGCTGAGTTGCCCAAGCACTGGACAGCAGCACATGGGAGATGGTGAAGGGGCTGGGAGCTGGGGGGTGACAGTCCTCCGGTCTGGAAGCATTAAACTTTCTTCCCGCTGAATAGGTGTGGGTGTCCTGATTTTGTCTGGGACAGAGTTAATTTTCTTCCTAATAGCTGTATAGTGCTGTGTCTTGGGTTTTGTATGAGAATAATGTTGACAACACACTGACGTTTTAGTTATGGCTAAGTAGTTGTAGTGCTTATACTGTCAAGGACGTTTCAGCTCCCCACGCTTTGCCAGCGGGGAGGTGCACAAGGAGCTGGGACGGGGCACAACCAGGACAGCTGACCCAGACTGGCCAAAGGGATATTCCTTACCATGTAACGTCACACTCAGTATAGAAACTGGAGTTGGCCAGGGCGGGAATCACTGCTTGGGGATGGGCTATTGATCATCAGGTGGTGAGCAGTTGTTGCATTGTGCGTCACTTGGTTTTGTATATTCCATTACCATTATCATTACCATTATCATTATCATTTCCTCTTTCTTTGCTGTCCTATTAAACCCTTTTTATCTCAACCTGTAAGTTTTTTTTTTCCAATTCTCTCCCCCATCCCACCTGGGGAGGTGGGGGCAAGGTAACGGCTGCCTGGTGTTTAGTTTTTGGCTGGGGCTAAACCATGACAGTGGGGGAGAGACTCCAGCGTCACTGGCTATCTCAGGATTGACTAAACGTCAAAAAGGAGCGCTTCAGAAGTTTCTAGAAGTGACTTGGGTAAATTTGGCTTGGAGGAATGCTACTCATCTCCTTGCAAGGGGTTAGGTTTGGTCAACTGAAACTTGGAGGAGCTTAGGTCTACAGATGATGAAGGTTTAACATGGAAGTGCTTGAAAGGAAAAACAGGCACTGAAATGTCTCCCCCTATCTAAAATTAAAATTTGATTTTGTTCAGCTAGACTGCCCTATTATGACACCTGTACAAGCAAACTTTAAGAGGGAAGACAACATAACATTAAACATAAAGCAGAGTAGGCAAGTGGAAGCCTTATGAGCTACATCCACCCTGCCTGAGCTGTCTGGTCCTGGGAGTAGCTTAAAGCCCACCGTGCTCCTGAGATTCATTACTGAATTTGGGCTGCTTAGAGATTAGAGCTGCCTTCTTGAGCAGGTTTCTGTGAGTACCGAGCTGTCCCTTTTGGTCACCTTTGGTAATGTGACAAAGACATATCGAATATGGGGAGATGTCTGGGTCACAGACACAACTCTAGGTCCAACTCTACTGTATCTGTAAGGTGTACAATGTCTGTGTACCCCAAATTTTCATCCTCACCCTTCAATTTCTCCCCTCCCTGTAGGAGCCTATCCTTCAGCTTTTAAGTTCAGTCCCAGGGCATTTCAGGAGTACACAAAACAGAGGGTTGGCAGTCTGGCCTCAATCCCAACCTGGATGGTACTCCTGCACTGCAGAGCAATCAGAGGTCTAGAAGCAGCAGGCAAAAAGTCTTGTAGGAAAGGGGTGAGGGACCCACGTTACACTGGAAAGGAAAATTCTGAGGTGGTTTCTGAATGTTTGAGAGATTTTCCCTCATAGGAAAGGACAGAGGACTGACTATAAACAATGCAGGAAACCTTCCCCACTATCCGAGATACTGTACCATGTCACAAGGCTTTCATGTTGCAATATATTAAACTGCACCTCCAGTGAAACCTAACTGTACAGCTCTTTTTAATGTATGCTGAAAATGCCATGTACTAGCAGTAGCTATTCAACCGCTGCGTAACGCTACACACGTATCCTTCCCTTAGACGTAGCCACAGTCACTAGTGGCAGTTCAATGGGCTATGAGTAAGGAGGAAAAAATCTCCAATATTCTAGCCAGAGATATTTCTTGAATGTGAACCTACTTTATCAATTATAATAATTATTTAACATACAAATACAGGACTGTTTGCAGTCTCAGAAATAACATAAGGGATTTAAATTTTGAAACTGCTTTGCAGGATTCTGCACCTGAAGCCTGCAGTATTTGAAAACATGACCAAGCTGCGCCTTGCAGCAGACTATAGTCTAGCAACACCGAGAGGACAGACTGTTAAAATAAGCATCTACATCATTTTTCACAGTGCACAGTGCCACAATGCATCTGCTTAAAAACAAATATATGTTTGCAGTGAAACATTTCAACAAATCACAGAACTCAGCAGCAAAGTAGTTAAACATTTATGATTTGATTTTATCTCAGCTTGGAATGTCGCTGGAGTGTCCCACTTCTAACAACTGTTTGCTAAGTTAAGGCTTTAGTGTTTACACAGTGCTGAATGAAGCAGCCTGGTCACCAGATGTGAATGCTTCCTTAGACTAGAGCTTTCAATCAGATCACGGTCCTAATGGTCCCTGCTCCAACCTTCTTCCTCAGGACGTCCACCAGCCTTTCCAACCTGAGAGGGGGCAGGGGAGAGGGAGAGGAGAGAAAAAAAAAGGAAGCTAACGTTAGGAATGTTCTGGCTGAAAGAGACAGTGTTTGCACTGAACCAAGCTGTCCTGGTGGTGGTCACGCTCAGAAACAAAGCACTACTGTAAAAGACAGACATTCAGGGAAAATGCAGACAACTTATGGAAAACTTTTTAACCTACAACCCAACCCATTGGCAGTCAGTGATATATATCAACTCACTTTTCTTTTGTAGAATATGTAGTATCTGAGGTGCCCATAAGGCATTAACACAAAACCCTGTGCAGCAGTCCTGTGGCACATACACGCTTTGGTGTAAGCGGGACATTCAATTCCTGCACTTTTAAAAATATGAGTGGTCCATGGTTCTTGTTAAATGTAACACTTAGCTGTTGTTTCCCCTTAAAAAATACCCTGCCCATTATCCAACAAATACTTTTATTGTCCAGTTTATAAATTTATGCCTAAAACCCCATGTGTTTTATGTCAAAAACCTTTTCAAAATACTCAACAAGCCAAGTTTCTGAGGATGTGGACAATGATATTTTGAAGGTGGCCCGTATGATTATTATGTCGACACAACTACAGAAAAATTAACAGTCTAAATAAGTAGGACAGAGAGCCGCCTAATCCTCTCTTAGTGTTAAGGCACAGGCTATAAGCATGGCCAACATCTCACTGGCTTAATTTGTTCTTTCCTTTTGTTAAAGTATGTAGGCAAATGCAAAGGGCTAAATTTGTTCAGCGTTTTCCATTTGCACACATTTATCTTTAGCACTCCAGTAATCATGCATTCAAGCTATTTCTTCAATTTATCTGTATTTTATGGAATCCTTCAATGAAAGCTCTCTCCCAAATAAACTAACTATACAAAAGCAGACACTGTGTGTAGTAGAACACTTTCAGAGCCATGTCCAGCATATTATACACACAACTTGCAAAATGGATCAAAAGAGTTGCAGGTTCAAACAGCTGTATTCACTGCGGCAAAGTTGACCGCTTTTTCTTACCTGAAAAGACAGTTGTTATTTTTTAAAATGTATTATACAGCATGAGGAATGCAGATAGGAAATAAAAATAACACAGCTTTATCAAAACTGCAAAATCCATTTTATCTCATGGATGCATTAGTAACTTCAGTGCAGGAAAACTAGTTAACACGTCTTGGAGTTATTGCCACAAATCATGACTAATGTACATGGTACGTATTGAAACACTCTTGTTTTCCAGGAACCACCAAGCACCATGAAGCTACACCTTTTATTGTACTCACCAGGTGACTTAATTCCTGAAACAAGATTAAGAATTCACCACCCTAATGTAATTATGAGACACCAGGAAATGTATATGGAAAGTTCAGCTGTTCCACAGGGACTCTAAAGGAGTGAAAGCACAGGTGAAAAACTACTGCTTAGCTACTCCTCTCCTTTCAGTTTTACAAGTATCACTTTTCTTTTTTAACCAACTAGTGCATTTTTGTAACACACATCTACTGCACTTCTTCGTCTTTATGGAGGCAGCACCCAGACAGTCACAACCCAGTGCAGTCAGTCCATGCAGGTATCAAGTCAGGGCTGTCACAAGTTATTTGCTCCTCCAAGTTTTCTCACAGTGGATAAATCAATGTTTTCTGGGTTCTATGGGTTTTAACTCAGTTACTGATAGGACACAGTTTCCTCAGCCTCTCTTACTGAGAAGCTTCCCTGTTAAATCAGTTAGTCCATGTGCAATTTCAGAAAGCAATGGCATATCAGTCCTCACTTTTAAAAGCATGTATGTTCAGAAGCATTGCAGCTTTCTCAGCCACGTTGACTATCACTGGAGGTCTCTCTCTCTCTCACGCTAGCACCCTCTCTAAAGTGCTTCAGCGACATAAAGTGCAGGAGAAACATTTCAAGCTGTCTGGACAAACAGAAGGTCTGGGCTGCAAATTGTCTTCTGGGAGACAGCAGAAAAATAGTAAAATCTGAGATCATGGCTTATTTAAATCACTGCTCAGTTAAAAATACTGCACGGCTTATACAAGTGGGGCAACATGACTTCAATAATTGAGGTTTCTTTTTGGGAGACATAGGTTGGAGGTCACTGCTTACACACTGTCTTGCATCTGCACTACTCTGTGACCAAGCAATGACACTGCACACCACAGCAGAACAAGTTAGCGAAGAGCTGCCCGTGTTTGAAGAGAAATACCACTGGGATGAAAGTAGCTGTCTTCTGTTTAACCTTGAAACTGTCAGGCTTCATTGAAAATAATGAGGCTTAACAATCATAGCTTCTGCTTTTCAAATGAATGATGACTGAAATCATGAAAATGAGGTATCTTGCACCAAATATGAACCGTGCAGGGCTTATTTGCCTTTTGTTTCAGTCATGTGTGGATTTGCAAATTTATTTATTCTTTATTAGAAGAAAGAAAAAAAAAGCAGCAGGGGATTAAGAAACCATACCTTCGAAAGATATTTTAACAATAATGTAAAAGAGAATCTGTAACAGCTATTTATAAGATAAAATAACAGAGGGCAAAATTCACCCCTACACAGACACAAGGCCCAATATACCACTGAAATCCCACTTAAGCCTACAAAATAATGCTACGGGCTGAATCAGTGGTTAATAACTCTTGATACAGGCCTCAGGGGGCTTTTCGGAACGATAATCCTGGACTCTTTGTTCACCCAGGGCCCAACTCTGCCATCCTGACTCACACTAAGCAACATTTTTCTTTGTCAGCAATAAAAGGCAGCTAACAAGGCCGTTTGCCAATGGGGTACTACCTGCAAGGGGTGAGGGCGGCAGAACCGCCCCTGGTCCATAAGGCTCTGTACCCAGCCCGGGGGGATGCTGCAGGCAGCTCTTTTTGGAGGCTGAGCATTTTAATCTGCGGTAAACTGAAGGAATAGTCTTACACCGCAAGATCAAAGTAAACTTAAATATCTAAACAGACAAATGGTGCTGGGAACTACCCTAAGAGTCTCAGTGTTTGCAGAGTTTTATTCAAAATATGGAAGACACTGACCTGAAGAAAGCAACTTTTATCACTTTGTGCAATTATGATATATCTGCCAGTATAATCTCACCATATTTTACTTAACTGAAAGCAGTACCGACTAAGTTTGCCTGTATCCTAAGCCACAGATCTAACAAATTACATTTGTCTTTTTGCTGGTGAAGGAGACAGTCCTCACAGTATAAATTAAATGCGCAGTATGACACCATCTTCTCCTGAGATGTAAGCACAGACACTCACTGAATTTGCATCTCATGAAGCAACCAAACAAGTCATTCAAGAAGAAAGTATTTGGGTTCGTATTTTAGGTCAGACAGAAGAATGATATGGTGGGCAACTCTGCTGCAGTGCTGAAGGTCCAAACGTGCAAGGACAGGCAGACACCTTTAGGAATGTTCAACAAAGCCTCTTAAGGTCTCACTCCTCGTTCTCACAGATTTCAATTTCTTGCTTAGAGATTTTGGAAAAACCCAGTAGGTGACCGTAGCTATTTCTCGGTACTTAAAGAATTCTAGAAAACCTGTCCCTTGAATGAATTCTCTTAGCAAATGCCACTTCAGCATTCTCTACACAATTACTTATGTGTGCATGCAAAATGAGTACAAAATGGCATATAAAATACAGGAACAAACTATGTATTCAGATGGATAGGTATAACTTTGGTTTTATTTATACTGACTTGCACATAGCCAAAGACAAAAAGTGCTGTGTTTTTCAGGATAGATGGAATTTGCGTCCATGAAAAGCACAAAGATGAGAGCTACAAATATTCTTTATCTACACTACCTATTTCTGCTCATCTCAGTGCTTCCATGAAATGGAAAAATAAAAAAAATCACAAAGTAGGAAAGGGGCATCTGATCCATCATTATTTTTAAGTTAGCAACAGACACATGATTGTGAAGAGTCTTGAACTGCAGTGGCTTCATGCTTCCTCAATACAAACTTGGAATTAAGCAGGTAAATCCGTGTTTTAATACAGAAATAAAAAGATTTCTTTGAGGGGCTTGCTGCTATGATATTACCAGTTTGAATATGTACTTTTAAAAGTGTTGCTAAGCTTTAAGAAGGTCCTCATCTTCAGAGGTAGGCTACCTAAACAAGAACATTGCTAGGCGTGTCTTCCCCAGGGCAAATTCGCAACTATTTTCAACTCCTTTTCCAGATATTTCAAATTGTGTTCTCTTACAACCTATGCATACATCTGACAAAATGCCTGTATAGATTGTATGTTGTTATACGGAGTGTTCTTACATAGCTCCTGAACTGTTTGACAATCTGCTGTGATTTTTAGCAAAGCCTTACAGAGCTTTACTCCCTTGAGTATAAATCATTCTAGTTTTACAATCAGTCTCCATAAAGCAGACTTAAAATCCTTAGGGACAGAGAAGTTTGTTCTGGGAGCCCAGGAGCTGGACGGATAGTTGCAAAAATGTTACCTACTGGTCTCTGCCGCTGAGTCTTAGGCGCATTTTTGGCTTGCTCTCCTCTTACATGTATTCTGCTGAAGAAGTCTAGCGCTTCTAGCTCTGGGTCTAAACTGTAGCTTCGGATCAGTAAAAGCTCTGTAACTGCGTAAAGCCACATAGATCAGTACGTTCTCCCACACTGCTCCATCTCTGGCCAAAGGAACTCACCCCAAAAGAGGAGCAGTGGCCTTTATCCACAAGTTCTGAATATGACAGAGTTATACAGTCACAGAGTGATCTTCGAGGGCATCATGCCCCCGAAATAGCCAAAACGGGTACCCAACTGAAAGAAAAGGGCACCCTTCAAGTAGCCTATGTCCTAATCTGCAAAGCAATATATAGACTAGCCGAAAACAATAGCTTCTACCTGCAGATGGAGGAGTTAAGTGATAAAAAGAAAACCCTCCTGGATTTTGAAATGCTATATAAAGGTTTATAAACCTAAACTATAACCCTTGGTTATCTTTCCAGTAGATAAGATTAGGCTCAGGCTATGAAGATGGCCTT